GGATAATAATTAATTAAACACATCAGTAAAGTAACTTGGCCTACATATTTTTCAAACTAAATACCTAGTTAGTTTTATTGTTATGTATTATTAAAGTTCATAGTTTATGTAGCTTAATAAAATTATCTAAAACATATAATATGTATTAACATTTTTGACCATAATTGACTCAAAATACTAAACGTAACATTATATATTTAATAAAATGTATCAAAAATATAATTATTTATGTGAATATTATAGGTTAATATTTTTTCTAAAAACTTTTAAAACAATAAATTACAAATCATTTTTTGAATTGCCTAAATAACTCATTCGTTAAAAAAATGTTACTCGAACATTTCAGTGTGTCGTTATCTTTACAGTATTGCTTATCATCTGAAGTTTCTTTTCTGTAATAACAAACACACAAAAATATATTACCATTTTTTTTATCTACCCTGTTTAACTAACTGTGACCGTTTTGTTGGGAACCATAAAGGGAAAAAGCATTTTTACGCTTTTTTCTATGTCCCCGGAACATTACATATTAGAGGTCATTCCCATGTTTGGCTCAGTCATATGGAATGTGAGAGAGAACGAAAAAAGTTACCAGTCATTTTACGTGTTCGGAATGCCTTAGTGGGTTGGTAAATAAAATTCAGGGAAAATTACATTTTGTCGGCTAACCAACACAGATAAGCTTTGACACAATAGTGTTGGTCAATATTCATTCAAATTAACATCCACTGGGACTGCCACTGTAAAAACTTCATATGAGTGTGGGTTAAAAACGTTAAGCTCCAAATAAGGGGGTTTTATTCTAAAATGTATTTCAATTATATTATTCAGATAAGCAATGTGATTAATATTATTGTTTATTAAAAATAAAATAAAACAGCATACAGTTTTACAGCTACCTATTTGTGTTCAAAAATAACTAGACGTTATATTTTCTCGTTTGTCTTTGTATTGTTTAAATGAGATCTGAAGATTAGAAAACCATTATAGACGGTACAAAGGAAATATTCATTACAAAGAAAACGACAGATGTTGAAACCTATGTAAACTAATGCTTTTAAGTACTTTAATACATTGCAGTTAGAACTGCATATGATTTATGTATGGAACGTATAAAATAAATGGAACAATTTATTATAAAATAAATACTATTTTTCTTTTTCTAAAGTTATATATACCACAAATCACAGATGGATTATGATATATTATATTCGTATAAAAATAAATACAAKACAATATTTTAATTAAATATAATTTATTCACATAAGAATGTTTCAAAATATGAAATAAATGTTGTGTATGAAATAAAATTATAATATTATAAATGTTTTGATGTTGGTAATAATTATGTGATGAAAGTTGAAAAATAAATGAAGATGAATAAATTAATTTTTTAGAAATGGWGTACCTATATAGTTTAAATTCGCCAAATGTTGTCAAAACAAAAATCATACCTATACTTTATAGGCAATTGTAGGTACAATTTGCTTTTTTCATACATTTATATTTAAAACATTTTATTTTGTGTAAATAATTTATAAATGTGATCGTACTCGTTAAGACACTGTATTAGCTCCATGGCTTATTATTCTTTCTACTTTATGTTGGAGTAAAAAAAGAACATTATTTTCGATCTATTGAAAATGAGTTAGATGTAAAATTCTAAAAAGTTTATAATGTTAACTCTAAAAACTAAAACAACTTTTTGAAACATAAAGGCACATGTTTTTCAAACATCTACGGCTTTTACAGAGGTCATAAAAAAAGTTTCATAATATATTTATGATTATTACTAACCTAACTTACGCTACTTTCCGGTTATTCTTTGCGACAAAATTTAACAAGACATACCTACTTTGATAAATGGTCTAGAGTTTTAGGATGTTTTAAATAATCAATGTTTGAAGTACTACATACGCGGCGATCCTATGAACAGTGAACACTTCGATTTCACATAAATTTAAGTGGTAATCCACACGGAATGCTACATAATATTTCGGGAATTATGAGTATGTGTTCATTTCGTAGGTGTTTTTAGCTATCTGCACGAAATTTATTGCGCTTTAAAAGGATTTCTCTTGGACCCTTTAGCGAACCGAAATCCCTTAGGGGTATGTGCTTCAGTGTATATACGTACACATTTATACGGAAGCGCCCAATTCATGTGGAGTGTCTGGAAATTTTCCAAAATCGATATAAGTAAACTGAGCATTAAAAAAAAAGAAAAGAAAAGATAGAAAGATGGAAAGAGAAAGAGATATAAAGTGAGAGAGAAATATAGGGACGTGGTAGGCAAAAGAAAAAAAGAGATCAGTACAAAAGAAAAATAATGATGGTGACCGGAGATGAAAAAGGCAAAGCCGTATACAAAAGGGTTTACTCGTGGATTTTGTAATCGATTAGAATAATAATAAAAAACACACACAGGTCATTGTTCGGAAGATCGTGACACTTGGATAACATTTTTGAATAAACTAAACACCAAATGTTTTAATATATTGTTTGTTTTATTAAAAAATAAAATCCATTTATTTTACTGACTTGTAAATTATTATTGTTAAAAATGTATTTGAATGCAATGATTTTAATCAGTASCAGATTTACGGGGGGAGGTGGTGATATATTTACTAATTATTTTAATTTATATAATAGACTATATACACTAGGTWCAATAATGATATACAATAATAATAATAATAATATACACTCCATAATCGATAAAATACATTAAAATTAAAAATAATAAATATAATACTTAAATTATTAAAAAACGGTAAACACTTGTATTCATAAAAATAAAAATAAAACCTTTGGAACACATAATATGATGATTATTTTAGGTCCTCCCACCCAGAAAAATATTGAAAATCCACCACAAATTGTGAATGTTTATTCATTGTACACATCAAAAAGCGATTCTAAGCGGAGATAGTCTGYCAGCATACATTTTCTAAGAGCATTTTATCATAGGTTCATATTAATTATATTGCTATGAGTAATTTATTTTTCACAAATCAATTTATTATGCCTGCCCAATCTGGGCAGCAGCTTCCTCTCCAAAAATCAACAAAATCCAAATCCTTCAAAACAAATTGTTAAGAATATATCTCAAAGCACCATGATTCACGAAGAATAGACATATCCACAACGACCTAACAATCCCCCTTCTCCAAGACTAGATAAAAATAAAATTCCAAAACTTTCACGCAAAACTAAAAACATTCGATGGCTCATGGCTTTACATTCTAGGAATAAAATCGAAAAATTAGCGTTTAAAACCACGTCTACCGCAAGATCTTCTTATACCAGAGCAAAGCTAAGACGAAGATCAACCATAATTTACCATCACAAATACTAAATTTAAAATGTATACACCTATCACAATATCTTAAACTAATTATAATTAGAAATAGAATCTTGTAATCGTAAATTGTAAACTGACTTGTAATAGCTTGTAATATGCTGAGACAGTTTAATCTTCATAAAAAAAAATATATGACAATACATAATATATAGATTACAATTTATTTATTTACACGTGTGCTTGACCTTTGGATCATATTGATACTTTGATATTTACGTTCTTATTCTTAAAAAGTAATTAATTAATATTATTTGTTTATGGTTTATTATAGATAATAAATATAACTTATTATTCATATTCCACCTTAAAGTCTATAAAAATAGCATTTGGTTATTGTGAACACATGACATTAATACTATTATTTTTAAGAAAGGTATTATAAAAATACATTAAATTTATGAAAAAGATACTCTCTATAAATTATTATTTTAAAAATATATGTACTATGTGTATTATTATATGGTTAAAATATAACGTTTCATAAAACTATACACTGAATTCATTATTGATTGCATCAACTCATTAAATAAATTTTACTAGAATTCTAGGGCTAGTAAAATTATTTGTATATAATACAGTAAATAAATAAATCAGACAAAACATGTATCAATGTAACATAATAGTATGATTCACAAACATTTTAGTATAATATGATAAAACGAAAAAAACTATCAGTGTTCAATATTCAGCTTGTTTGTCATAAAATAAAATACCTTGATTCAGGTAAATATTACAATTTAGAATTGAAATTATAGCTTAATAACAATTGTGATAAATGTTTATTTTTTATTTAGATAATAAATGTATGCACAACCAATTAGATCAAATTAATAACAATGCATTTGTATTATAGGTGTGTCTACGAGTCTTAGGWGATTTTATTATTCAGTTACCAGATAATTCGAACGTTTATCTATACATATAGTTCTCTAACTTAACAATAATACATAACAAGTTGAATGTATCAATTGATACAATGTGATATCTATTGTATGGAGAACTAATTTATAATTAATAGTTAATTATTTGTCAAATTCAATGAAAATATAACCATTTTAAGAAATTATATAATAATAATATCAAAACATAGCTTTTAAAATGAAAAAAACAATAATTGAAATTAATTGAAATCAGATAAAGCTATAACCTATATAATTGTATATTATTATAATACCTTTTAGTAGTTATGTATTTACTAATTTATTATTAGTTTGCTTGTTTACTAAAAAAAAATTCAGAATAATAATATGTAAAAGGTATGATATATATTATATTATATCGTTTGTAGTTCGCTACAATATCCATACTCAGTATATATAATAATAGAATATAAAGTTTTTAAAAATTATACAGTTGTGTAAGTACTGCAGTATGAGGGAAAATGTATAATCTTCAAATATTTATTGTTATGTTCTATATTTTCTACGTTCCTAAATAAGTCATAACCATAGAAAACTGTTAAAGAAATTGTGAATATTTATTAAACACGAGATGGACTCATAATAGGTACATATAAACACAGTTGTCCCAAAGGAATTTATAAATATCTAGTTTTAGGTAGTATTTATTGAGTACTTTTAAGTCTAAGTGAACATATAAATATTATATAATATTTAAAACAAAATAATATATACTTTTAACGTCTATTCGCTTTATTCGAGTTGACAGAATATTCATACAAACATCCGAAATCGGTAGCGGCTTTTATTAACTTCTGTAAGTTAAAATTGACCAAACCACCGCATTGGTTACAAATATTGTGTGGATATTTACACAGCATATTAAGTTCACTCGACGACAGTGACGTTTCAGAACCGGCGCCGGAGAGCCGGCTGATCTTCTTGCAAGAATTCCGCAATTTTTTTATCTATAAATATGACCGAACGTCAGTTCGATAGATGTCTACTTATTATTTATTAATCTTGTGATTAAGAGGAAGATTCAGATTTACGTGTTTCATGTTTGAATAAATAAATATAAAACAAATAATACTGGCGCATTTAAAATGGAATAAGTTTTGAAATGCGATAACGATATTATGTAACATCGTAATTGTATAAAAAAAAAAAGCACTGTATAAGGTACTATGCATATATATATATATATAGGTAAGGTATATCTATTTAAACTTATATTATTCGACCATTTTACAAAAACAACGTAAATTGTCTCAGACGCACTCTCGTTCGATCTAAATTATCGATAATCGCGATAAAATAAAACGAAGTTGAGGCACCCGAAAGCTTTTACTCGAAATAATGCATATGTCTATGACGTGTCAAATCGATTTTAATTTTAATCGGTCATTTAAAGTGGCTTCTGACACTAGCAGATCGTATACAAAACAAACAGGTGAGAAAATCGTGGAATATTGACCTGACGTGGTCTACAGCAAGCACTTCGTAAGTCATCAAGTGCTCGGATTACTGACTTAAGCAGCTTCTGCAACCAATAGGYGTCCGTACACCCTATGTCGTTATCCGACCGGGCCAATAAGTCTAATATTTCACGCACTCGTCCGCCCACCATTCGCACACATACGTCAGCCGGCAGAGTGTCTGATGACACGTCAGTCACCGATTTAGCACCGTCATCTTCACTAGATTTCTGGTCCGCTGCTGCAACGTGTGATAGAAAAACAAAAATAAAGTTAACATGCTAAACTGTGGATGTTATGTGGTCTAAGGACTACGGTTTATTCCTCATCATTAAAGTCCCATGCCATCCRCCCACAATAGACGCACCAAAATGATTTCGATTTAACTGTTCCAGCATTTCGAACGCAAAAGTTTTAAATTAAAAATGAAACTTTCTCAGAAATATACGATAGTTGTTCGTTCACTTGGTCGGTTGGTGAAAAGAAAATGTTTGCTCTTTGGGCCTTGAGATTCATCCATAATAATGTGCTCGGCCACTAACTGACGTTAAAAAACGAAAACGTCCATCGAGTACAAAAAGTTAATACAAAAAGTTTCGTTCCCAGTGCACCCTGAAGTTAATTGGATGGCATTCTTTGCTTAACGAAATCCTTAACGTTATTTAAGTTATTTTAATAAAGGGTTATTTCTGTCTATGGCAACACATCTCAATAAGTAATAACAAAACATCAAAATGTATACTATTACGAATATAATATCAATATTAGTTTTTTTTTTTTCTTAAACATGATGTGCTAATTTTGTGAAATAAATACCTACGAAATTTAATTGCATATATTATAGTTTAATTAAACTAAATACTTGGTAAGCTACCAATAAAAATAATCATCATACAACAAATTAATACTGTAGTGGAGTATATTAATTAATAAGTATATATAAATGTTCTATTGCGTGCATATTTGAGTACTTCATATTATATTATATTGTGTAAAAACGCTTAATGGTTGTCTTACGTCATGATATTATTAAAATTATAAAATTAAAAATGATTTCACTCGAATATAATAAATTTAGGCAAWTTTTAAAAATAAATTAATACCTACAATTTTTAATATTATTTCGTTGATGTAATTTCAATTATTTTGAATTTATATCGCCATATACCTATTTAACTAATTAAATAAAAGTTAAACAAGAGACAATATCCATTATAAATTAAATATCATCTAGTTATTGAAACTCGGATTAACACTAATGTTATTCTAGCATGGAGAATGGTTTGCATAATAAGTAATAGGTGGAGTATAATATTATACGTAAACCATTTTATATTCATTGACCATTATATTATTATTAGTGGATATCGCTGAATTATGTAATGGTTAATTGAACCAATGAGTATTAAAACTTGAATACTAAACAGGTCAGAATAATGGAATTTTAAAGCATAATATTGATGTAGAATCCGCATACATAATAAAAATATTAATTATACATGGACCTAATTTATAATACATTAACAATCGACATGTAGATTATAAATAGTTTTACACAATTTAATCGTATATGCGTAATAGTTTACCATTGTCACTGTACGTTTCACATTTAGTWATAGTATTTTGGATGTTTGTATCAGAGGYCCCAACGAACGATTTCTTACTGGCTTGTTCTAAAATATTGTCATAAATTTAAGTGTGACATTGTATCAATGACGATGGTTTATTAAATAAATATTTTTCAATACTTGTTTGACAAGCTTTATGTTTTTTTACGTAGGTCGATCCATCAAAATAAGTCAAACGAACGGACGTTTTACTGTTTTTATGGAACTTTTGAACTACAGCTGAAATAAATTATAGTGATCGTAATATTGCTGTTTGAGTTCAATAATTCAATAATGTAAGAATCACTGAAGTAAAAATAATTTAAGCTTAAYGTTGATAATAATATGTTCAGAAAATTAATTACTAGAATTAGAATTTATGTYTTCGTTAGTTTGAGACGATACGTCATGATCAGCAATGCATTGTTTCCGCGTACACATAATTTGTTGGAAATACTTTTAAAACGATATAAATTTTTTAAATATTCAGTGCATAATTTAATTATTTAATAATATGTTGATACCAAAAAAAAATCATACACAGTATCTATTATTAAAATAATATTATGTTTACTTGTGTTTAGTTTCCATACAATTTCAAAACTCGTTGTTTCCATAATGTTTATTATTTACTAAAATTCATTTAAAACATATTTTATTGTGTACATTRGTACATTTAATGATATTTTTAAGTAAAACTATTAGGTATATACCGTAAGTAATTATCGTTATAATAAATATAATATTGTATTTTTTAATTTAAAAGTGATTTTTTGTTAAACATTAAATTTCTACGGATGTGCCTTACCATTAAAATTAAATATTCTATTAATTTAATATTGTGTTCTAATTCAATTTTATAACAGAATGATAACTATCATGAATTGTTTTCAACATCTAAAAACATTTTTATTAAACATAGTATAACCTACTCTTAGTTGTAATATTACCTATAAGACATAGATATTGATACACTATTATCTGTAATGTATTAAATTAACAATATATTACTATAGTGTATTTTACAAAGTATTGAAAAATTATCTATTTCAGTAGTTTCCAAACTTTTTTAACGTAAACACCACTTAATAAAAATCAATTTTTGGTCACGCAAGTTCCACAGAATGAATGGTATTGATTAAATTAAATTAATTATTAAGTGTTTATACATAGTTAATAGTTTTAAAGTTCTAAGTCCTCACCAATATTACTTAAAAYATTATGTTTATATTTTGGTTTYTTAAACTTATGATTGTCATTAATAATCATTTTATTTGGATAAAAAWGTATTTAAGTTATACCATAACATTTACGTMAAATATTGGTTTAATCAAGTTATTATAACAAATCCAGTCAGTCATCAAGAAATCCGATATACCCATTACGTAATTGAATGTGTATATTCTCCTCTACCTATATAACATTAACGCAAATAAAATATATTCAACCGGTTGGTTGCTTTTAAATTTAAAGGGTTAATCTAAAACAATACAAATATATTTTATTTTATTGTCCATTTTTCTATCAGAAACGGTGTTCAAACAAAAATGAGTTTTCTCAGAACAAACTTTTTAGCTTTGTYTCTATGACTGTCGACTGATCGTTCTCAAATGTAGAGGACACCAGTTAAACGGTTTATGGCMTATAGTGTCATAATATCTGATTCTTGTATAATTTAAAGATTAACAAACGATTTAACCTGATTCATTCCCTGTAATATTTTGTTTATCTAAAGACCAATCACATCGCATAACTCTCTAGCCATGGGCTCCGAGCACGTAGGTATTACTTAACGAAAAAGTAAAATGTTTTCTGGTTTTCTGGTTTAAGCTACTGAAYGTATCGATTTAGAAGATTTATGGTAAATAAAATTCTTTTACTTTTCCTGACATATTATTATCAATTTACAATATTTTGATAAACAATTTGTTTAAAGGTCTTATATTAATGTAATTATTTTACACTTTAACTAATTAATGGAACATAAAAATTAAAAAATGAGGTGACCAATATGTTATACATTAGGTATCAAGTAAACATCATTGATTTACTTTACAATCAAAAAATACAATTTTAAATACTATAAGTTGAAATTCGATGCATTTTTTCTACCATAAGTCATATTATTATTATACATGCACACACAAAAAAAAGAAAAATTGAAACACAAAATTGTGCAAAATCAATTTATCGTTTCACTCAAAATCTAAAAAAAAAAAAAAAATGTTAACACAAAATATTATATTAAATCGACAACTAAAGTATTTTAGTATTAACTATTCTAATAGTATTACACTGCATTAGTGTATATGGATTTAGTTTTGGGTCCGTTGTATCCGGATAAAGATCACACGCTATATTAGTTATGGGAACTACCTATCATAATATAGAATTATATGAATCTGACCATGACTTTATTAATTTTATCCTCGTTGCGTCATTGAAATTATAATAATACCATGGTGCATCTACCAGATTTAATAACCATATCAAACTATTATTTTTTTTTTTAATCATACCACCCTATCTACCTGCATGTTTATTTAGTCAGCCATTCGATTGATCTACGCAGTTTTTTTTTCTAATATTAAATATCATACGTAGCAAGTAAATAATTGTATGCGTAAACCACAGTAATTATGAAAATTTTTTAATTTATCATTCCATAAATTCAATTTTATAATGACTTTCCGGCGGCCATGGCAGTCGTTATAATTATTTATTTGTTCAACCGTATAAATTTATATTAAAGTGAAACTGATCCGGTAAATTCTTTCCCCCCTGGGTCCCGTTCATTGTTTTCCGAACTTCCTGAGAGGCACTCACTAATACCCGACTGCAGAGGAATAAGTACAGTCTAATACTGCACAACGAGTTTGTTATTTGAATGTTTACATTTTAGCGTTTAAGCAATAGGTATTATATAGAATATCGTAACGTTATCTATAAGTACAGTTTACTACTGTTGTTTTACATTTCACAAAGGACGGACAAACTAGGTCGTTTTAGATAAGGACACTGCAATAACGTCTATATACCTATTCGTGTGCCGTGTGTGTATGTGTGTGTGTGTGTGTGTGTGCGTGCGTGTTTGCGTGTGGGTTTGTATGTGTGGTATCTGTGTTTGTACGTGAATTTGAGACGACGAGTTATCACCATAACTCTAAAACGCACACTATTAGTCGCGAGCATGCAACTGAATATACGACTAAAGCAAACGCAATTATTTCGTTCGTCGCGACCGTAAGGTTTGCCTGCACCTCTCAGCCTCCGGCGAATTCTAAATACCGTCTAGGGTTTCTTACATAATCATCACAAACCGTAATATAACATACACACATACGAGTATAATATATTACGTTTGCGTAGTATAAATATACTTTTTTTTTTTTTAATCTCCGGCAGCTCTTCATTCTTATTATTTTGTATGTCGTAATAAAGCGGGCGACGRCGGGGGCAAATGACCGAATGAAAATAATAAAAATATCGTTTCCATTCGAAAATCTGACAATGGCAGACGGMGGCTGCGGCAGGACATCGTCGGTGGACAGGAGGGCGAGAAAAAAAATGAAAAGAGCGTGATTGATATCGTTTCATGGACATCGATTCGGCCCGGGTGACGATGATGTGAAAGCAACTGCAGCCAACGAGGCGGGGTGTGCACACCAGTTGATAGATTGTTTCTCTATTCTTGGCCCCGCGATATTTCAACCTCGCCGCGTCATCCTCTTTATCTCGTACCTACCCCGTTCGCCAACGCCTCACGAAGCTTTATTATTATATATTTATGAAAGGTTTTATATTCATTACAATCAATCGATCGGTTATCATATTCGTCAAATTAATGTATATTATAWACAATATATAATATATTAGATTAAAAAAAAGATCGACGGTTAAAATCATCCCTAGCTCGTCAGTTGTTAGTTTTTGTATTTTTTGTATTTTTATTAATAGCTGAACTGATTATTCCGTTTAATCAGCTTCAAGTATTTCTTTTKYTTATACACATATAAATATTTATTAATCATTTTTAGTAGTAAAACATTGCTTGTGTACTTGGTAAATGTCATCCATTAAATCAATTAATGTGTGTGTGTGTGTGCTTGTTATACRTATTATTTATAACTCCATATGGTGTGTTTATATGTGGCACTTAAACAGTAAATTAGGTCTGTTATTAGACGAACCACTTCACTTGCGTTTGGCACACGCCCCGGAACGCCAACTTACATGATGGAAATTCGTTTTACGTGACCAATAACGTAAAACTACGATAAATAATTTGTAAAAAAAGTTTAATAATTGAAAATATTATTTTTATGCGCTATAAAACTTTTAATTTATAATAAAAACGAGACGATAATATAAACATGTACAACTATAATATTGGTTACTTACATTTTTGCATTTAACACAACGCAATCCAATATATTTTTGAAAATTATTTTTAGTTTAAAAGTAGTGATGATAATTTATTATTTGTATGGTGTAATTTTATTTCAAATAATATACGTACATGATATGATTTTTCACAGACTATTATACTTCGTAATCGAGTTACGTGCATTGTAATTTTTATTTTTATTATTAGAATATTTCTAATAATTATTGATTATATTATCCGTTTATTATTAGTAGTTGAAATTTGAAATATTCATTTTTGTATCAACCGAAGTACCTAACGTAAAAGTAAAATGATGTTTTATATAAATCATAGTGAGTGAGTAAAATAACATATTATTTCTTCTTTGGAGCAGTATAATATGCATTATGMATACWCGATTATTATAGAAGTATGAGAATAAAAACTGTATTACATCATCACAAAACATTTAACATATTTTAATAAATGTTCGGGCATTTTTTTCTGGAGAATTAAATGTGTCTTAATTATTGTAGAAATAAAAAAAAATATAGAAAATATGACACGTTTTAATTTTGTAAGTATTTCATATTATTGTTGATGTTTTACTATTTGCTCATTGTATTCTGTATTTCGTATGCTCTTTTAATATTAAAAGAGGAATTTAAGGTGTATCGCCCTTTCTATATTGAAAATGTGCAACCAGGTTTTTTTTTAATAAAAACTGATGTATACATTCTAAGAGCTACTGTAGAATGACAATGGACATTCATTTTTTCACTGCTTCATCGATCCATTTTTTAATAACATACATCAACGTGTAACATCACTAAAATTCTATTTTTTTTTTTTTTTTTTTTTTTTTTAAGCGTGTTATTCTAAATTATGAAATTATAATGTAGTTAAGGTCCTATGGACTAACTATAAGGGTGAATCGGTGACCTGGTGATACAATTTTTGATTAAGTAGTACATTTCTGGAGGATATCTGTTTATAATGTAATATAATAAGTACCTAGTAGAAATAAAAAAWTGTTTTGATAATAACTATAAATCAATAATATATGTATATCATA